TTAAGTTGTCTTTGTCTCCACTGATGGAAAGGTTAGGTGGATTTCTGTCCTAAGAAGGATTGAATGTCCTGCTCTAAATAGTTGTCAGTATTCAAAATATTCTAAGCCAATATCTTCATGAGATCCTGATTTCAATTTCTTTGGATCTCTACACAGAAGCTGGATTGCTGGATTATATGGTAGTTCTAGTTTTAATTTTGGGGGAAACATCAGTTCTGTTTTACATAGCATTACTCACAGTAGCCAAGATATGGAAACAACCTGTGTCTATCAGTAGATGAATAGATAAAGAAGATGTAATACACACCACACACACACACACACACACACACACACACAGAGGAATATTATTCAGCCATGAGAAAAGAGAAAATTCTGCCATTTGTGACAACTTTAATACACCTTGAGAGCATTATGCTAAGTGAACTTAGAGACAAGTGAGTATGATCTCACTTATACGTGGAAACTAAAAAAGACAAACTCAGAGAAATAGAGAGTAGAGTAGTGGTTGCCATGGGTGGATAGGGAAATGAGGAAATACTGCTCAAAGAGTACAACCTTCCAGTGATAAGATTAATAAATTTGGGAATCTAATGTCCAGTATGGTGATTATAGCTAATAACACTGTATTATATACTTGAATATTTCTAAGAGACTAGATCTTAAATATCCTCACCACAAAAATGAAATGGTAATTATCTGACCAATTATTTGTTAGCAAAGCTCAAGACAAAGAGGGTAGACTAGGAGCACACCTTTACAAATCTGCATAAAATGGGCTAAGTGTGACATAACGGTAAAGATAAAGAGTCTAACTTATACATATTCAAGTGAATGCCTCCGTGTAGTTTGTGTACAACAGAGCGAAGGGCATGGGGATCCTTGAGGACTAACTACCTTTTTGGTTCAAACTCATACAGTTGAGTTTGAACCAAACTCTGTCTCTTCCTCTCTGGTCTTTTTTACCTTATTTTCTTCTTCCTCCACGACCCTCACCCCCACACCCAATAAAAGGTGTGTCTGTACCCAATAAAAGGTACATCTGGAAATTCAGATTCAGCTCTTGTTACTGTGTCTCAGTCAGACTAGACATTGGGCAGTCAAGTTTTCTATGTTAAGAGGGAGACATCAGGATTCAGCTGGTGTCTTGATTATAAAATCCAATTTTCAGTAAAATTGTGGGTTTTTTAAAACATTTCTCATTAGGCAATCATAGAAGCCAAGACCTCAAAAAATGATAGCTATTATTATTATAAATGAACTATAAATATGACCAAATATGGAAATTTCTATTTTATTTGAGAACTGCTATGTCAAGTTCTTCTTAGTTATAAAAATAGTCTAGTAGAGTCTAGTATATTTGTACTTGATGTGAACTTTCTTTCTGGAAATGATAATGCCTTAATTTGTGAAAAAGAGAAATATATGTGATTTATTACAAAGATGTTTAATTTTCATTTCATTACATTATGTTCTGTGAACATTTATATCTAGTCTATAATTAAACATGATTTATTCAAATTGAGATCTGTTTCCACTTAGATTGCTTGCTGTGTTAATCACAGTGCAAATAGCCTTCACCACTGAAAGAATTCCTACATTACGCTAATGTATAACTGCTTTCCTGTAATTTGCATCTGTTCTATGAGCCTACGTGTTACCAAATATGTACATATGTAGAAATGTTTTACTTATTTTGCTACTATATTAAAGAACATAACTCACTTAATATGACATTTGTGTTTTTATAAATTTAAATTTAAGGTAATTTGTTTAGTTTTAAAAAAATTGAAAAATGCCCGAACAATAAAACGTCCTTCTCTATCACAATTGAGGATGGCTATAAGCAATTTCACTTCAGCAATGCAAATCCAGTTTATCTTACCTCATGGTGACATCTGGGTAAAGGTGTAACTGTTTGTTTTTCTTTAGAATCAGATGTATTCCTAATTATAACTTCCTTTGTTGACCATTGTAGATCTGTCCTGAAGAACAGGCAGAAAGTTTAAAGGTCGATTAGTCTTGATTAGATTCACATTAACACATGTAAATACAATTTATTGTGTAAAGACTTGGTAGATGCAAGGAGGCTAAAAATAAGGGTGCCTGCACATCCTTAATGTATATGTTTTAACTCTTGATGTTCTTACATCATGCATTATGAAAACTTCCATCTATTAACATTTCAAAGCAGCAAGAACTGGGTTTGATTTTACTCATGATGTAATTCAATTTTAAAATGAGAATATGCTTTGAGCCTCTTACCTGAGAATTAAAATATTTGATGTGCCCTGGCCAGTGATACTCAGTTGGAGCACTATCCCATACACCAAAAGGTTGTGGGTTCCATCCCAGTCAAGGCACATACCTAGATTGAAAGTTTGATCCCTGTTCTGGGTGTGTATGGGAGGCAACCCATTGATGTTCCTCTCCCACATCATGCTTCTCTCTCTGGTTCCTTTTCTCTCTAAAATCAATAAAAACAACATACTCTTGGGTGAGGATTACAGTGTGTGTGTGTGTGTGTGTGTGTGTGTGTGTGTGTGTGTCCGTCCTGCCTCCCTTTTCTCGTTTCTTAAGCCCATCCCACATATGGTTTCATTAGGTCTTTCTAAAGTACAAGAATGCAGAAAGTACCCTACCATCCATTTCCAGGAGATAAAGGCCAGTTCCCTCGGTTGGCAATAAGGGTTCTTCATAGTCTGCTCCCTCTCTGCATCCTTGGATGTGGTCAACAGCACTCCTCTTCCCATTCTCTGCTCCAGACGAACTGGGCTATTCCTGTACCTGAACACACCATCACACCATGGACAGTTCTCTTCAAAGCTGTTTCTCAGCTTGGTTTCCTTCTTGGAAATATACCACCATCTTCATCTCGTCCTTATTGATCCTAATTAAGCCTTCCCTTCAAGTTTAAGATCAAATTATATTTCCTTTATGTGATCTTCAGATATCAATACTCAGTTTCTCCTTTATCAGTATATAAAAGAATAACCTTTTATATCTAACTTATACAATGAGGCAACGTACTCTCTAAGTCATAAAGGTTTAACTTATCAGCCATTAACATATTCTCATCTAAAACAAATTTTAGTAGATATGATCAAGGGAAAAACATATCAGGCATGTTAAAGTTGCAAAACATTGTCATTATCTTACATTGAGCTTGCAAAAATAAAAAAAAATAAATAAAAAATAACAGAGACTCTTATGCCACTTTAAAAATTTAATGAAAATAGTTTGTGTGAGTTCAATATAAAGACAGTGAAATTTTGACATGACTAAAAAGAGCTAAATGTTACATCAGATAAGAACATAAATAACTCCTTTCTTCCTTATTTTTTTTTTTATTTCTGGAGAGTTTTAGTGTTAAATATTTGGGACTCTCTGTATAGCGCACAGCTCTTTTTAGAGACTAGCAGATTCTGGGTATATTTTATTTTATTATTTGATGATATAGCCAAATTATTTTAATTTTTTCTGAACACAGCTTTGAATTGTTTTTACTCTTAAGCTGTGACAATCAACCAGGCACCAAAAAGAATGGCTTTTTCAGAGAAAGTCATCCTCCGTCTAAGGAATTTTAGACCAAAATTTGTACAGTAAACTTAGAATGAGAAGTGGACAACTTTGTTTCCAGGATGAGATATTGTTTAGAAGAAAACTATAAAACAAAGGGCAAAAGAGATTTTTTTCTAATATTTTGCCCTTGTTTTGTCTTGAGGGGATAATTTAATGATTATATATATTGCTTTAGTACTATAAAAACCTAGGACTTCAGAAATACCTTTTGATACATTGTAGTGTATCAAAAGGTACAATATACATCTGAAATAAAAAGTATATATACTGTCCACACCACTATTGCTAATCCTTTGTTAGAAATATCAGGAAACATTTACTGGGCACCAGTGGTCACTGGACAGTGTGTGGCATTTGTAGAGATACAAAGATCAGTGCAAGGAAGGTGCTGAATCCCTCAAGTTCACAGTTGGACTAGGTGAAAGACTGAATGGACAGTTCCTAAGTAACATCACTTAGGTCTGTGAGAAGACTGGGGAAAAAAAAAACAGTTGTGGAAAGAAAGGCAGAGAGGGAGTTCAGTGGAGTAGATGATAGGAGGAGAAAGCAATGAGGAGTACTGTGCGTCCACAGACTACTTCACTAGCTCCCATAGAACACAGTGTGGTGCTGGGCTTAGAGGGAATGATTTGTAAATATTAGTGACTGATATTTGACTGCATTAGTCATTGTTTCTTTTTCATTTAACAGCATACTCGTTATCTCTGTTGTCCAAAATTAGCAAGGAAATTAGTATAATTTGCCAAATGTTTTGTATTGCCAATGATTTTGCATCAGGTATAATAATGGTATACGTCAACGGTAAGTCTCTATAGTTATTCTAACTTTAGAAACCCTTGAACTTAAAGGAGAGTAGGAAGTGATCATCATTTACATTTATTGTACTTTGCATGTGATGAGCTTTAGCTTTTAACTCTAATTTGCTTCTCATCGCATTCATCAAAGCGAACTATTTAGAAACTAAAACATCTCTGTCAGTTAGAATTTTAATGAATTGAGATGAAATGAGACAGTGTTAATTGGCAGTTGTTGCTGCAGGGGAGGTGTCTAGATCTTATAAGTGATACCAATTCATCCTTCTATCAGGGTTAATTTGTTTGATTTAATTCTGAGAATACACTATTTCCTCACACTATTCATATTTATTTTCTGATTGGAGAGGAGGTTAGTTCTGTTGGTCTTTCATTTAAATTCTCAATTCCATTTGTAATTGATTTAATTTGATTAAATTGAATAAGTTGATTTGATTAAATTAAATAAATTTAAGCAGCATTTGTATTATTGACTCTGATTAATAAACACAAAATGTAATAGTATTACTTAGACTTTTTTATTTGTAATGCCCCAAAACTTCCATAACTAATCTTTTTCTTTTTTTACCAATACTTCAATTTCTGTACTTTTCTTGTTTTCCTCAGACATAAATGAATGTGAAGCTGAGCCTTGCAAAAATGGTGGGATATGCACAGACCTTGCTGCTAACTACTCCTGTGAGTGCCCTGGCGAATTCATGGGAAGAAATTGTCAATACAGTGAGTATTTATATATATGTATATGTAAAGTTTTATTTGCATAGCCTGCATTTATTATGGAATCTGAGTGGACATCAATATAGTTTACAGACATCATCATTATTGAAATGGCACATTTCATATTTGTTGTTTTAATGTTATTAATGTGTGTGTGTGTATATATATAATATATATAATTATATACATTAATTATATATATTATATATATTAATATATATTAATTATATATATATATAAAATATATATATTCTCCATATAGGTATCAGTACAAGATGGGCACAAGAATGGTCACCTTGTGGTCTGAAAGTAGGGCAACAGCTCTTCAGTGCATCTCTCTTGTGGACCCCATCTGTGGCCTTTGAGGATGTGTATGACCTAAATGTTCACCAGAGTGGCTACTCTGGTTTATACAATACCTTCGGCACAACCTAGCCGGATAGCCTCTATCACAAGTAAATGGTAGAGGTGAAGGGGGATTCACATCGACTTGGACAACACATAATTAGGAATTTTACACATAATCTTTCTTCTTGGAAGCCTAAGACAGTCTTGAGATTATGGATCAAATATTAGAAAAATAATTTACCTGAACTGTTTACAAAGAAGCAAAGAAACACCTCTCCTTCCCCAAAACAAACAAAATACTAGGAAAAGATAGTAACTGAGTTACGGTCCACGGGATGACATCAGAATTGGGCACAAATATATACTAATGAGAATAGTAATGCACAGCTCAATAATTGTTGGGCGCTTATATACAGTTCATAGTGCTACTACTTTGATGTGTATTATACCATTAGAACATCACAATATTATAGAAATTCAGGAGGCAAGTGCAGATTGAAATAGATGCAGAAACTGAGGCACATAGACTCTGTGGTTTGCCCTAGCTCTCACAGTTAGTGACAGAATAGGACTAGAAAGAATCTAGAATTAGGTCTTGTGACTCTTAGTTCAGAATAGTTTCCTCTAAATTGAGATATCATTTCATATAGAGTTGAACATGATCAACACAAAAGCACACTACACCTCCTCTTTTTTTTTTTTTTAATCCTCACTCGAGGACATTTTTTTGCATTTTCCTTCAGATGGAGTGGGAGGGAGAGTGGGAGGAAGAGAGAGAGACAGAAACATCGATGTAAAAGAGACACATCGAGTGGCTGCCACCCACACAACCCCAACCAGAGCCAGGGACAAACTGCAACTGAGGCACGTGCCCTTAATGGGAACTGAACCTGAGTCTCTCTAGTTCGTGGGCCAACGCTCCAACCGCTGAGCCAAACCGGCCAGGGCTACATCTCCTTTCTTAAAAACACCCATACTCACGCCCACACACGTGCATACACACTCCTTCCTTTTTAGTCACTGTAACAATTTTATTTCTCACTTTTCTTCTCTTCCTTCCTTTTGACAATGGTAATTTATAAAATAAAAAAAGGAAAAAAATATTTAAGAGTTTCTTTTTGGGTTATGTATATAAACAAAATTATGATCTAATGGTGTTCATTACCCTAGTCCTAAAAAGCTATTTTTTAAATTAATTTTTTTCTTTATTGTTTTTAGAGAGAGAGGAAGGGAGAGGGAGAGAGATAGAAACACCAATGAGCAAGAACATCAATTGGCCACCTCCTGCATGCCCCACACTGGAGATTTGACCCACCACCTGGGCATGTGCCCTGACCGGGAATCAAACTGGTGACCTCTTGGTGCATGGATTGATGCTCAACCACTGAGTCACACCAGCTGGGCCTGAAACGCTATTTTAAAATAATAAAATTCTAAATATCAAAGAAATATCTTAGATTGGGGAAATTTTTTCTAAGCTTAAAAATTATTGGAGGACACTGAGCAAGAATTGAAGAAGCTGCAGGCACAGATGGATGAAAAGAAAGAGCTGTCTGAATAAGCAGATGGATCATAGACCAATAGCCACCCAGACTACTAACCTCACCACCTTTCTACAAAGCATATAACTGACCACCCACTAAGTGAACTTAAATTCAGGTTTAACTGGTCCTTAGTCTACCCGAGGCACAGCCCTTCTTTACTCTGATTCATGGGTCTTGAAGGTGGTTGCCCCGGCAGCACTGAATGGTGCTAAAAAGCATCCTACCATCGTGTTGGAAAAGAACACTTTAGTCCTGTGATGAGGAACAAAACTGATGGTAGTGACTACTTGACTTTCATGCAGCAAAAACTGATCTTGTTCCAGAATACAGGACTTTCAGGAAGTACTGGAACTTCGGCAGATCTTAAAGCCTGGATAAGAGCATTTCCAGACATGGCAAGGCCACCTCTGACCTGTAGGAGGCCTGGCCAGGCAGCAAGAAGAGGATGAGAGCTTCAGGAAAATTGTCTTGGGGGCATATCATGAGAATCCTACCTAGGAATTGGTGCCTCTCCCAGGTGGTGAAATCCTAACTCTTTGAGTGACCTTAAGAAGTGGTGTCTGAGGTTATAGACAATCTCCTTTCCCGGGAGAGGAGACCTAGGACTTGGAGTTATGTATATGCCCCCATACTGACTAGGAAGCAACTAGACACCAAGTTGCTTGCCTACATGTTAAAAATGAAATAAAACCTGGATGTGAACTAGATATTGAAACTAATTGCTAAAGCTTGTCCATTCTCCCGCCAGAGACTTTTACTGAGGTCACCATATCTGAAAATACTTTTAAAGAGAAAAGAGCTTGATTGACTATGGAAGGATATATTGAAATAGACTTTTGATTTAATTGCCCCTAGTTTGTCACTAATGTCTTTCAGTTTTTGATATTGCGTTTCATAAAACTCCTTATTTTTCTTTGACTTGGTTTCATTTATATACTATTTATATTTAAATGCAGTCTTCTCTTTGAACATGAATGTGGTAGTGAGGTACTTATCTTAACCTATCATATGCTCTCACATCCTACCATGTCCTCTGTTCAGTTCCGTGCCTCAACAAAGTAAATACTTATGACTCACTTGTACGAGTTTGTAATAAATTAGGATTCCTATTCTGTGTATTGCCTGGGTTTCCGGGAAGATGGTTCTGCCTTTTTCTGTGGCTTCATAGAATTTTAAAAGTTGAGAATAAGAAAGTGCATTCTGCCACAGTGATGATTTAGTTCTACACACTGAGAACTCAGAGCATTTACTCATGGCAGTGCCCATTGAAACACCTGCAGGTCACAGGTAGTGCCAGTTCCAAGTCGGCTGAGGTTAGGCTCTTCAGAGTTGACATTACATAGATTATAACCCATGTGCTGGCTTCCACTCTCTACTGAGATTGATACACTTTTTTCCTGGGTTTTTATCATGTCCCACGGGACACCAGAGGGTCAGCTTCTGCCTGCAGTGATGGGACAAAAGCTGTCTGCTTTGACAGCTATTTCAGGAGGAAGAGGGAAGAGAGAATGATAGAGACTGACTACTGGGGTGGGTCAGAGGACAGCTGTACTGAAATGCTATTATCATAGTGTTTAAATCCAAGCTGTCTTCTGTCTAACCTTGGGCTCCTGCACTCATATTGCCTTCACTTGTCCCACTTCTTTATTTCTACTGATGGATTAAGTAAGTTCTGGTTCATTTTAGGATGAAATCATTCTCAACACCCTCTCCCCAAAATTATAAATAATGGCAGGTATTTCAAAAGAATACAATTAATTTAAACACTAAAATATCTGTATAAAAATTGTAAACTATAAAACATGATAACCTGGGAAATATTTACAATAATAATAGAAGGCAACTATTACTCATCCTTAATGTACTATCTCTCTCAGTTCAATAAAATTAAATACAGTAGGGAAAAAAACAGCAAGAATGCGAATAGAAATGTCTCACAAAAAAGTAGTTTAATATTTATATTATAATTGTGTCTTTTTTAGTCCTCTATTCTTATTTTTATTAAAAAATAGACTTATAGTACCTTTATGATCTGAAAATAATTATATTTTAAATGGCTAGGTTATGAAAACACTAGATCTGTGAAGAAAACACTGGACTGGTGCCTCTCTCTGCTTCCTCCTCTCACCACATGTCTCTACCCCTTCCCTTACATGAGTGCAGACTGGAAGATGCATGGCAGAAGCAAATGGCAACATAGGTAAACACAGCAGGATGGAGTGCTAAAGAGAAGCAGAGGCTAGCTGGCAAACCAGAAGGAACTTGGGAAAGACTATGGAGAGAGAAGGGAAGAGAGTGAGAGCTCTAAACCAGGGCTCCATGCTAACTAACTTCCCCATCAGCTCCAACTCTCTCTCTCTCTCCCCCGCCCCCCCCCTCTCTCGCTCTCTAAGGAATTTGTCTTAATGGAAAGAAAATTGTAAGGAAAAGGAGGTGACAGACAGTTTTTTACAGACATAAAAGTTCCCATTAGACAATTTCACTTAATAGAAGTCCTTCCCTCCCTCTGCCTGTGCCCTTCCATAGTCTGTTCTTCACTCAGCTGCCAGCAAGAACCTGTAAAATGAAAAGTCAGAGTGCATCAACTTGCAGCTCCGAATCTCTGACTGGCTCCAGACTTCAGACAGCAAAAACACAGTCCTGTTCCCTGAGGCGGCAGGACCAGCCTGTGCTTTCTGCTCACCTCTCTAACTCCACTTCCTAGGACTCTGACTTTCTCACGCACTGCTTGCTCCTGCCAGTAGCAGGTCCTGGCACACACCTGGCCCATTCTGGCTCTAGAGCATTTCCTTTGCCACTTCCTTTCCCGGTAGTGTGTGGTATTAATCCTCCCACACTTCCTTCAGGTCCTTGAATAAAAAAACCTCTCTTCAATGAGACTTTCCCTGACCTGTCCACCTCCCTACCACAACACTCCAAGACACATACTCTCTTTTCTGCTATAGTTTTGCTCCTAGCTTTAATCACTAACATATGTTTTTACTTTTAAATATTGTTTGTTGACTAATTCTCCAATGAAGTATATACTCCATGAAGGAGATATTTCGGTGTTCTAATCACCACTGTCTAAATAGAACTGGTAAACAGTAAGTTCTCAATAAATATTTGCTA